CCCCCCGACTCCGGCTCTGCCCGGGCCGTGCTCGCCCGAGCCCCGCTCCCCCCGCTCCGGCTCTGCCCGGGCCGTGCTCGCCTGGTGCCCCCAACTCCGGCTCTGCCTGGGCCGTGCTCGCCCGGTGCCCCCCGACTCCGGCTCTGCCCGGGCCGTGCTCGCCCGAGCCCCGCTCCCCCCGCTCCGGCTCTGCCCGGGCCGTGCCCGCCCGGTGCCCTCGCCCCGCCTCTCCTGCTCACGTGCGGCAGCGCCGTCAGGTGACTCGGGTCGTCTGACCGGGGCCGTCCCACTTCGCCGCCTCTCCCGGGCCAATCGGTGACGCGGGGCTTTGACAGCGGCCAATCCGTGCCGGGCTGGGCCGTGTCGGGCTGGGCCGGACGAGCGGGAGGAAGCTCCGGGCCGGGCGCTGGCGGGCAGCGGGCTCGGGGCGGACATGGCGCTGCAGTTTGGCGGGGCGGGCGCGCCGGGCGCGGCTGAGGAACCGACGTTGGTGGGGGGCAGCTTCGGCGCCGCGGACTCGTTCCCCAAGGACTTCGGCTACGGGGAGGAGGAGGAGGAGGCGGAGCTGGAGGGAGGCCCAGGGCCCGGCGGGCCCGGCGGCGGCGCGGGTGGACCGGGCAGCGGCGCGGGCGGGGCGGACTCCAAGCCGCGGATCTTGCTTATGGGGCTGCGGCGCAGCGGGAAATCCTCCATCCAGAAGGTGAGGGGCCGCCGGCGGCTCCCCGCCTCCCCCCCCCCGGCGCCGAGTTGTGTCTCTCATTTGCTGTGCTGCTGTTCGGGCCGTTCCTAGTTTTTATTGTGGGCCCATGTGGCGAAGTTGAAACGACGGGAGCCTCCTGCCTAAAGACGTTTACTTTCCAGAACGGACTCTGATCGTCGTCGCTAGAGAGGGAGGTTGTGTAGCATAGGTTGTAGCCTTTGCATTTCTTCAGTTTTAACGCTTCAGAAGTAAAAAAGTGAAGATGCTAGTGTGACGTTTATGTGAGGTGTTTTCTTACAGCTGTGAAAGCACCGTGAGCGGTACAGGTGTGCAGTGTTTAGCGTGCTTCCACTTGGAAGACTTGAGCTTTGTTATGCCTTTTGATGCTTTGAAAGAGAGTTCTGCTTTTGTATGAGCAGGACAGCCTCTGGTTCTCTTTAGTACGCTAGGTCGAGCAAACGAGAGTCAAGGAGGAAATGCCTTACGAGGAGTTTCAGTGCCTTAGGTTTGTTGATAGCTTTGTGAAGTCACTAGTGTTTCTTGATAAAAGTAAGACAAAACTGGCTATTTTCATTTGCCACGTAGCTCAGTAGAAGTGTCATGCTGAGAATGATCCTTGTTCCTCAGTGCAAATTTTATGTTCGTGGTCCCAGCTGTGAAGTTTTCAGTGGTATTTTATGGGAAGATGTTACTAGTGAAATGTGTGGTTCTCAAGCTCGAGGCTTAGGGGCCTCAAACTTGCTTCAAATGCAAGTGTGAAAACCTGTAGAGATTTCTGTAAAGGTTTTGTGGAGGGAATCCTTTTTTTGGACATTGCAGTATAGCAGGGATGAATCTGCTTCTTTTTGCCATCTTATGCAGACTGCTTGGTAATCCATATACTGCAGTAAGCCGATGAGTTCTAAACTGACTTCAGACTGGATCTGTTAGTGAGAAATTCTGAAATACAGTGGCAGACCAGGCCGTCGTTGCTTTTTAGTCTTGTCAGTTATTCCCCATTATTTAGGTCGAATGATCCCACTGTATGTGCAAATGCAGTGATTTCACTAGAAGTCTTTTTCTAAGTCTTTTAGTCATGTGAACGGCACTGGTTGTAGACACTCGTTAGAGATCTTATCGTATTATCCACTGTTGAAAAACCCCCCAAAAGCTAGAGGGAAGCAGCAAGTCCAAATTGCAGATAGATTTTAAGACTTTACAGGTCTCTTTATAGATGCAGCTTTTGGACTTTTTTATGGCCAATGTTAATAGTCCTCAGTTCTCTGAGGACCTATTCAAAGGTAAGGAATAGTGTGATGCTGAGTATGCAATAAGAAGACATAGGATTTATCTTTTGCCCACTGGTTACCAGTCTGGCTTAGGAATTAGATAGAAGCTGTGATTCTGATACCTAGGAGTTCATTGTGATGCTGCCTGAGCAAACTAACTATGGCAATAATTTGAGACATTCTTGTAATATCAAGAAATTTCTCATCAACAGTGTTCCTGGTCTTAGATCTGTCTAGTTCAAAAATGTCCATAACCAGACCCAACCCTTCTGTCTAGGTATTAGTTGTTGATCACCTTGCCAGAGAACAGGGATATGCAAGATTAACACTGTATCGTGGAAAGTATTGGCTTTGCGATTGTCTAGAAATTTCTGTGAAAAACATGAATTATTAAACCATTCCAGCCTTCCACTGAGAGCAGTATTAATAGGACACCTCTTACAAAAGAAAAAATTATGGTCCTGTGGAGGAACTCTTTTTTCTTCTTCCTTTGGACAGTTGGATTTTCCATACTGGTATAACCTCTGAATACTCAGTAGCAAATTGAGGGTAATAGATTTTGGGAATGTAATGATTGCTTTGGTTCATAAAACAAATTTTTGTGCAGACTTGCATAACTGGACTTACTGTACTGTCCCTGTGTAATAGGAACCTGGAAAGAGTTCAGATGGGGGACACCAATCTGATGAAATGTGCTGCTTTGGCAAGAAGGGGAAATGGAAATGATGGCATTGCTTCCCAGAGACTTATCAGCTTTAAACTGAATTTTCTAATTCTGTCCCACTTCTGTGGGAGATGCTGAGTTCCAAAAGAAATTTTGATTTCAGAATGCTTTAAAACTATGCTGCAAACCCTTAAGAATGCAGTACAGCCACCGTGTATCTAGAACTTTTTTACTTTTCCATACAAATGTTCTGCTGTTTAAAACCCCATTAAGATCATGGCCTCCTAAACCTTTCCTTAGGCTTAAAAACCTAGGCTGACATATTACTTTGAACCTCACTAAACAGTCCATTAACTATACTGGGTGTAGAGTTCTTTGTCTTTCAGGTTTTTTTGACAGTTTGTTGCACCAGCTCTCTAATGGATGACTTCTGTAACTGTACGAAACATCTGATAAAACCAGAATTACCAAGTGCTGTATAGGAAATATCTTTCTTTTGGAGTCCTAGTATTTGATCACATTATGTTTGGAATAACTTTCATATTACATAGTTGAGTTGCTTTAGCGCAGTGTTCACTGTTGACACTGACCGCTTTTGCTACAGGCTGCTTTGCTGTGGAGTTACATGCTAGTTCTGTTTGTACAGGGAAGGGCTAAAATCCCAGTGGGGCTTTTTGAGTTCTAGCAACGAGTATGTTTTTCACCCTGCAGCTAAAGTGTTTACCAAGTAGTGTGAAATCTTTTGTAGTTTCTTTAGGGAAGTTTCACAGAAGTTCCACCTGACCATGAGGAAGAACTTCTTTTCTGTGCAGGTGACTGAGCCCTGGAACAGGCTGCCCAGTGAGGTTGTGGAGTCTCCCTCACTGGAGTTACTCAAGAACCGTCTGGACACAATCCTGTGCAATGTGCTCTGGGCTGACCCTGCTTGAAAAGGGAGGTTGGACCAGATGACCCCACTGTGTTCCCTTCCAACCTTACCCATTCTGTGATTCTCTAATTAAAAGGAGAGGGTCAGCAAACTTAACTCAGTTGTTAATAGATGGCACACCACCTAGCTATTCAGGTCTCTAAAACCGAGATGTTATTTTTGTACACTTCTATTGTAGTTTAGGAACGATCTGATTATGTTGTGTTATAACACTTGACACCAGACTAAAAGTGAAATTTCCTTTAGGAATGTCTAAGATTAGAAAGGAAAGGTTCTTAAAAGCTTGCAGTTGCTTAATTAACACATTTGCTTCATACCAGATAAGAACATAACAGAATTTGAACATACTGTGTTAGACTTGCAAGGAAGAAGGAGTAACAGGGATGTCTGTGTCTTTTGCCATTGGACTTGTGAAAATGTTTAACTGTATTCAGTTGTTTGGTTTGGGTCGGGGGTAGGTCATTTCCTTAGCTGATGCAGCAAGCTGTCTATTTACCAAAAGGAAGCTGTATGCTTTAGAAGGGATAAACCTATTTGTAAGATTCAAGTTACAAAACTTTCACCCATTTCTTCTAATAAGGTAAAGTCTAGACTATTATTTGTGTTCTTTTAACAGGTGGTGTTTCACAAAATGTCTCCCAATGAGACACTGTTCTTGGAAAGTACCAACAAAATCTACAAAGATGATATTTCCAACAGTTCGTTTGTAAATTTCCAAATATGGGATTTTCCTGGACAGATGGACTTTTTTGATCCAACATTTGATTATGAGATGATCTTCAGAGGAACAGGTGCTCTAATATATGTTATCGATGCCCAGGTAAATACAAATCACTAAGAATCATAAGGAAGTTTTATTTTTACTTTTTGTGTGAGAGGAGTTGAATGAGAAGCTAGTAATTCATATTTTTAGATAAGTTCGTAAAACATCTGCTACGTATGAAGGGATGCATTGGCAATCTGACTTTTGGTGTGTGGTTTTATTTTTGTGAAGTGACTGGAACATATGCTGCTGGTGGAGAGAGGGGAAAGGGGCTGGTACTCTGAGTTTACCTGCAATAATAGCAAGAACCTGCTGTGCTAGGTGGATGGAATTATCCCTTCCTTCTGCTCTGGAGTTCATTTAATAATAGCACACTTCTGACCTCAGTTTCTAGTACTGATACTACGGGGTATCTGGCAGTTTTTAATAAGCCTAGAAATTGCACCGTGGGAGATTACCTGGCTATTAGGACCATCTTGGAGATCGCTGCTTGCCTATTGCTGGAGCTGAAATGTAACCCACCTTTTGCTCTGAAGTCTAGTTTTGTGTAGCTAATGAAACTTAATTGACATGACGGAATCTAAGCTGCTTGGATTTCTCACACTTCAGAGTATTCTCTCTCTCCTCCCAGACTTCTATTTAGTTACAGAATTGAAGTTCTTGCACTGAAATATTTTGTCCTTGTGCAGAATGGAATAGTTATCAGAGAGAAAGCTTTATCGTTCATTCCTGCCCAAACTGATTTACAGGATGACTACATGGAAGCTTTAACAAGACTGCACATTACAGTTTCAAAAGCTTACAAGGTCAACCCGGAAATGAACTTTGAAGTTTTTATTCATAAAGTTGATGGTTTATCAGATGACCATAAAATAGAAACTCAGAGGGATATTCATCAGAGGGCTAATGATGATCTTACAGACGCTGGGCTCGAAAAACTTCACCTTAGGTGAGTGAAAGATTCTGACATATGTGATTCTCCTGTTGCTGATATGCATACAGATTAATGGCTTTTAGATGCGATACTGGACTGACTGGAGCAAGGTCTGGTTACTTTCTTATTATTTAACAAACTCTTGTTAAAAAAATACACTGCTGAATTTATGGACAAGCTTCAGCTGTTAGGCTGACTAAAATAAGGCAGGCTACTGTATCAGATTTCAATGAACAGATTATTCATAAACTCGATGATAATTCAAGGTCCTTCTCATTCAGCCTAACAGGCCAAATTTGTACATGTGGCCTGGAGGGGCAGGGAAAGGAGGGGGGAAGGTCTCTGCCTTTTAGTCCTGGGTAGCACTGACTTTTCAGCATGATTGGTTTAAAAGCTTAGTCTGTTACTTGATATTTGGCTCACTAATAAGGTATCTTCTACAGATACCTTTAAAACAAGCCATCTTTTCTCTGGATTTACTGCTATCTTGATTCTTGTGGAGCCAGTATCTTGATGTTAGTGTGAGCAAAGTGGAAGGCCAGGAACAGGACTTGAAGAAATCAAATTGAGCATTTTTTATACCTTTATAATAAGCACTCTGTAGGCAAAGTGTGTTGTGAAAGAATATTCAAATTTTCATCCTTGGTCTCCCATCTCTAAGGGATGGGGGAGATCTGTTTCATGGTTACTCCAGCCGCTCAGAAATTAGGTTCTTTGTGCATTGGTCAGATATATTTGTCATAAAGGCATCCCAGCCAAGGCATCAGGCCTGAATGTTAGAAAACATAGCTTTAACATTTCTATTGCAATTCTGAAATATTCTTGAATCTTCTTTTTCTTTTTTTTTCTTCCACTGCCCTCCCTCCTCATCTCAGCTTTTATTTGACCAGTATCTATGACCATTCAATATTTGAAGCCTTCAGTAAAGTGGTACAGAAGCTCATTCCACAACTGCCAACCCTGGAAAACCTACTTAATATCTTTATATCAGTAAGTGTTAATCTAACAGAACTCTGAGTGAAATATACGGAATGGTAAAGCAAGTCCTTCTGCCAAGGAACGCTGGCTAGATCTGCCCTTGGGAGATTTGGGTGGCACTCATGTGGGTGTACTCTGCTGACCTGGATGTCTACATTAGAAGCTCTCTACCACAGCTAAATTGTACTGGTGCGTGCTCTGTGGGGATTTCTCTAAATGTTGACAAAGCGTAGTTTGACTGGTTATAACAGTTGTTAGGGAAGTTTCCTGCAGGATATACTGATTAGTTTGCTAAGGCACCTAGTAGTCTAATGTAGCAACAGACATATTTGGTAATATGAACTTGGTCTTGAACTAAACTGTCTATTTCATATGGCCTGTGAGACTTTTGCCTTTATTCTTTTAAGGTTTGGATTTCTTATAGAATTTGTGACATAGAAATTTGCTGCTGTATACTTTAAATCAAATAAAATATCACCCTCGAGACAAGACCGTTTCATTTAAATCATGTCTGTTGCAGGCATGTGGACAACATAGAAAAAAACAATTGTGACTAAGAGGAGCTCTGTGCCCAGACATGTTGCCTCATGCTACCATATAATGCTTGTTTGCTAAGTTTGGTAGAGGACTGACCCAGTGGATAAAGGGCATGCTCACCTTGATCAGTGCCATGGGGGTATGGAGTGTGATCTTGATGCCAAAAGGATTGTCTGGATGTCCTCAGGACACTGTCTTTGGTACTGAGACTAGCTAGAAAGAAGAGAGAAGGAATGATTCTGGGTGCATAAATAGAAAAGAAGCTTTACCAATAGTGTATATGTGGTAACTTGGTGAACTACAAAAGGCTTCTGAACTTAGTATGAGCACATGCACTTTGCCAAATTGCTCAGTTACAAATGTCTTGGTGCTTTTCCATACCCATAACTGCCGTAATGTGGTACTTTTCATGGATTTTTAAGTTCAGAAGCTGACTTAGTTGCTCTGCACGTTAAACTATGTGGCAACTGCTTCACACAAAATCTGAACTGCCAAGATACTACAAGCATAAAACTTAAGTGTCAGCATACTACTGTGAAATATCTCATCTCTGATCCCAGTCCATTAGGTGGATGTGAATGTATGGCTCTTCTGGAATTAATAGAACCACAGAAGAGGTAAACTGCTGAATGTGGGTTCTGGAAGCATAGTAAAATGTAACCTGAATTATGATCTGTTAAATAATAAACTAAAAAGAATTACAACAGAGTCCCCAGTTTTATTTTTGTCAACTATGTAATGTTCATATGTACTATGGGAACAAGGGTATTGTATTTATAAACTATATGCTCTAAATCTTCAATCTGTCTTGAGTCTCTAAATTGCTTATGTTTAAACAATTTTCTGCTGTTAAGAATGTGAAAGTTATGAATTCTACTTGAGATTTTAAAAATTCATCCAAATTCTTTCTCTTTCTGAAGAATTCAGGCATTGAAAAAGCTTTTCTCTTCGATGTAGTCAGCAAAATCTACATTGCAACAGACAGTTCCCCTGTGGACATGCAGTCATATGAGTTGTGCTGTGACATGATTGATGTAGTGATAGATGTTTCCTGTATATATGGGTAAGTGATGAATACTCTTAGGAAAAAAAAAAGTCCTCAAATTTGTAGAATGGGCTGCAAACGGTGCAAGTCGTGGTGGTTTTGTCATGCAGTGAGATGCTATTGATTGGTCTTTAGAGCACATTGGTTCTGTAAGTAATTAAAGTAAAGCCAAATTATTTGGCAGCTGAATCGAGCATTTCTACTCGGTTTCTTTCCCACCACTCATGGCCCTAGACAGCTGTCTGACATTTGTTAAAGTTGTGTTTCATGTAAAATATAAATAGTGCTGTATCTCGTTTGGCATGGTGGGTGCAAGTATGTTAATACCTGCAAATAACTGGGGTCGATAGCATGCTGTGGCTCGTAACTGTAACTTGCAGTGATACTGCTTTGAGATTTGCTGCTATCTGAACTGAATAGCATATGTCTCACAATTTACAGCAGAATTATACTTCAGAATGAATTTTTGAAGTGGTTCTGGAGAAGCGGTAACTTCTCTTAGAACTATGGAAAATACAGTGCTGCCAAGAAATACCACAACATTTAATGGTCTGTGTCCCGATGGATCGATCCAGGGTTGTGTAGCTGTTTTGGTTTTTTTTTTCAGGAGTGCATAGAAGTAGTTTGCAATACATCATTTACTTCTATAGTAATTTAACTAACACTAATAACTTGCAGATAGAAAGCAGCATGTTAATCTGGTCTTGTAAATGCAGGCTGTTCAGCTTAAGACCAAAAAGCGTCCTGCTCCCTGTTGCACCCTCCAACTCAGCCTCACTAAGGAAACCTTTGTATTAATTTACCAAAATTAATTTCACTGAGATGCCACGCCACTGACATCAAAAGAATGCATGCTGATAGCTTGCTCTTAACTGCTCGTCTAAGACAGACAGTATCTAATGAAGGCCTCTACTCTGTTTAGGTCTAGCTTTCCTGAGAAACTTAAGGTGTGATAATGGTCTTACTCAACGATAGTATTAAGACCTGCATTGCAGGTTCTCCACTTGCTCAACGTTCAGTATGAGTAATATTCTTCTAACTGCATTTAACAGGTATTTGTCTTGAAGTTACATATGCATGCCTGTTAGATTATGCCTTGGGTTAAGTCATTCTTTTTTCAGGTTAAAAGAAGATGGCACTGGAAGTGCTTATGATAAAGAGTCAATGGCAATTATCAAGCTCAATAACACAACAGTCCTGTACTTAAAGGAAGTAACAAAATTTTTGGCATTAGTTTGCATCCTTAGAGAAGAGAGTTTTGAGCGCAAAGGTAAGGACTTCCTCACCACTGACAGGCTTTTATCTAATGTTTTTTATCAACTGCAAAATATTAGTATGACTTTACAAGTCACCTTGATTTTTGTGTAACTAAATTCGTGTAATTTCTTCGGGGAGGAATTTTCTTATTTCTTAGAGATAGGAATAACGAAGTCTTATTTTTAATTTTGTGAATCATCGCTTTAATCGCTGTGTTCCTGATGAAATTACTTGGGTAGCTAATGTGAGCTCTGTCACTACCATCTGCTCTACTGGAATAAGTAGAATGGAGTAATGGTCCCCTTACCTGCTGTTTAATTATGAGTGTACACATTGCATTTGAAATTGGTACCTTTTTTTCAGAAAACTGAGACAGTCCAAATAAATACTAGCATCAGTAAAACTTTGTTAAATCTTCTGAGCCCAAGTTAATACTAAAATAAGTAGGAAAATACCTATTGGTTAAATGTAACATTTTATATTGATTTTGAAGCTCCATTTATGTAAATATGCCAAACTGAACACAGTTTTTCCTCTCCCTTCCCCTTCCTTCTTGATAGGTTTGATAGACTACAATTTTCATTGCTTCCGCAAAGCCATTCATGAAGTCTTTGAAGTAGGTGTTGCCTCCCACAGGATCTGCAACCATCAATCAAGCACCTCAAATATGAAAGCAGTGACTCACAATGGCACACCTAGGAATGCAGTCTAGAGGAAAGCTAATGACCTTGGATAGACTTGTCAGCTCTTCACTCCAAAGTTTTGTGGAACAAGAGAAGAGTAGTCTGAAAGCCTGAAGTATGTTTCAGAGGAGAAGAGTGGTCCTAACTGTGGAACAGCAGCTTGTAACTGATGTTGGACAACTGAAAGTACTGTAAAAATACTTTGAGGCCAGTGGAGTTAGGAATGCTGGTTAAAACCAGCTGTATTACAAATGCAGTAGTTTTTCGGTTTGGAATCCTATTTTAACAGTCTGTCTCTGACTGATTGCCTGGTCAAAACTTAAAAACAATTGAGTTGAGTTTTCTGTGAAACACTGAATAGTCACTTGCTCAACTTTTTTTATTATTATTATTTTAAATTAATCTGTAGAATATCCTCTTTTGCTTAAGTTTACCCTTTTGCCATGCAAAAAAGAAAAAATTAGTGTTATTAAGGCTTGTGAAACTCAGGCTTTTTGCTTGCTGAGGCTGGTCTCACAAATCATTCCATTAAGTAGCTCTTGCTGGTGTGCTCATAATATTCTTGTGAATTCTGTGTTTGTTAAGTGGATGCAAGGTAGAGCTCTGTTCTAGTGATTATGTGTTTGTTTAGAGAACTGACCTGGGGCTTCATTTTAAGAGATCATGATACTTCTCTTTCAGACCGCAGTTCTTGGTATGTCCCCTTTGATGGAAGGGAAGCATTAAAATCAGAAATAAACTACCTGCTCTCTTTTGCAAAAACATGGATGTCATAAATCTGTGTGATTAATCCTGTTGATGAAACAACTGCATGGCTAACTGAACTGAAATTTCTGCCATCTGTTGAAATAAAGCAATCACTTTCAGCTATTCCTAAGCAAAGAAAAATGACAAAGTTACTGGTGGATCTCTTTCCACTCTGGCTGATAATCAAGGCAATTCCTAGGAAAATGTCTGAGGGTGTTATCCATGCATGGCAATTAAGTATCGATCTGCCATAACTACTAATAATACTGAACTTTGGAAGCATGTTGATTCTGTACTATGACAAACACCTTCTTGTTTGTCACCGGGCTGACTAGAACAGTGTTTTTTCTGATTTTGTGAATGCTTACTTTCATACTATGGGCAGTATATCTGAATTCTTTAATTTATTGATATTTGTATTATTACAGTAGATATCATACTATACATCAGCCTTGCTATGCAGTAAGCTCAGCCACTGGTCCATAAAGATCTTGCCTCTCTTTACCCGTCCCTATGTGTGTATAGGTGTTGCAAAGCCATTGGACCAACTATACAAGTGCCACTATAAAAGTCTGTGCAAGAAGAATTAACTGTAAGCAATCTCTGCAGCTGGTGTATTTATGTGGTCAGAAGTAACCATGGGAATGCTTCTGTGCTTATAGAAAGAACTTTAACTGAATTATGTAAAAATGAATATACATGCATTAACGTTAGGGTATATGCACATACTGAATAAATGTTTTTTTTTTACAGCAGGAGACTTTGGAATTCAAGTGCTCTAGGTCAGTTCTCTTAAACCTAGGCTGAGCCCCTTTTTGGTAATGAAACTGCAGAGTTGTTTATTTTAAGGAAGTGCTGGAGGCTTGTAAGATTGGGTTTTGTAGTTTGCAAGCACTGTCAGAGTATTCTAGTACTAAAGGTAAGAGGAGAAGTAATTGGCGAGATCACAGGAAGAATGAAATAATTCCCATTTGTGCAGTGAATTTTCCATGTTCTAAGTACATGTGTACGTTCTCTTTGTTTTCACCCACTACAGGATTTTGTGCTAATAAAATGAAAAAAAAGGCAAACTGTAACATTATTGTTTCTGCTTGTCTTTATAGACAAAAGTCTATAAATGCCTACATGCTAAAGCAAATTTTTAAAAGCCATGTTATCTTTATGGTATATTTTAAAAAAGTTAAATACCACATTCCCATGTGAGACTTCAAAAATTTTAGTCAAGCTTAACTTTCATCTCAATTAAAGCTGAATCCAAAATGAATACTCAGTTTTCAGAAGATGACTCTAGACTGTAAAGGCATATAAATGATCATGTGCACAATATTAGCTTTAAAAGTTAAATTTGTCTCTAGTAAGGAACACAGTGTTTCTTTAGTTTACTGGAACTAGTCTTCTGAATTAAGTCAGATGCTGCTGTTTAAGTAGAGGGTTACTAACCTGTTGCTGCTTTAGTGAGGCAGTTTTTGGTTTCTGCTGAAATCTTTATGGTGCCACAGAGGAGGAGGGATAGGAATTAGGCTTTATTTTCTTCCTTGTGCAGGGATCTGTCTCCCCTTCCTATGCTGACCTGCAGGGAGAGATCCTGTTAGAGATAAGGGAAGGTGATAACACGATCTCTCCAATACAAGAACTGAAACTGTGAAGGAAACCATCAACTACTGCTTCACCTGTCTGCCTTGTTATTTTTCCCTTTTTTTCTCCTCTAAACCTGTAGTGGTACAGATGCTCTGCAGTTTTTTTGCAAACAACTGAGGATGTGTGGTTCTAAGGAGAAAAATGGTGTGGACAGGGGAGGACAGAGAAAATGGTGGTCTGCTTGCTGGGAGAAGGAATGAAAATTTCGTTCTGTTGAAGAATAAAGCAATCCCTTGCAAGGTACCTTTCAGAGCTGTGTTGTCTGCCGCCGAGGATTGCTGAGTTTCCTGTTGGGAATCCTGCCAGCTGTAGCACAGGAGAGGGATGGAGGGGAAGGCCAATCCTGGGGAGACGGGCAGAGTAGTTAAAGATGACATCCCTCTGAGTTCCTGAAGGGTTCAATCTGCCCCTCGTTTGGCTGGAAGATGGTGTGGTCTTTCCTCTCTTTCCCTCAGACCTCCCTAAAAGTCCCTTGTTACTAGGTCCCTCGCTCCCTCAGCATGGGGCTGCGACAGGGCACGGGCAGGCTCTGGGTGGGCTGTGGGCGAGCGACTCTTGGGCCATCACTCATCTGAGGGGAAACGCTTGTCCCGGTGCTTGTCCCAGCGTGGCCCATATTGTCTGTATAAACAAGTTTGGTGCAGGACTTGAAGGGATATTAATTAAGTTCACCGATGATACTAAATTGGGAGGAGCTGTTGTTGACTCCGTCAAGGGCAGAGACCCTGCAGTGAGACCTTGGCGAGTTAGAGAGTAGTGCAATCACCAACCCTGAAATTTAACATTGACAAGTTTGGATTCTGCACCTAGAACAGGTAACCCTGACGGTTTGTACAGTTTGGGAAACGAGATGCTGGAAAGCAGTGCCGGGAAAGGGCCCTGGGGGTCCTGGTCAGTGGCCAGTTGGCCCTGAGTCAGCAGTGCCCTGGCAGCCAGGAGGGCCAACCATGTCCTGGGGGGCGTCAGGCCTGGCATCGCAGGCTGGGCCAGGGAGGGGATTGTCCTGCTCTGCTCTGACCTGCAGCGGCCTCACCTCAAGTACTGTTAGCAAGCATCCAAGAGGAAGGCTATGAAATGGTGACAGGTCTAGAGCGTATGAGGAGCAGTTGAGTGGTGGGTGTTTGTGCACAGCTTTATTAATGGTACCATTACAAAACTGTGGACCTTGTAAAACTAGGAGGGAAAGCCATGGGACAGAGAAGATTGCATAGTCTTGGTATGATTTATAAATTCTTCCCATTTTTAGTCAGGAAGTAGATCACTTTTTGAGTATAAGAGTTTTTTTTTAAATACAAGCATTTTTGTAATTCTAAATAGAAGTTGAAGTTTCTACTTTTCATTTTGGATATCTTCTTCCTTTTCAGTCTGCTCTGATGTTTGTTTTGAAAGCTATAATTTTTCTGGGCATAAGCAGCTACTGCTTTGTTTCTGTGATTTGTCTTCCAGATGGTTGTGTTTGGGTGAAATATTAATTAAAGAATTTACGTGATGTAATACATTCATCATGAAAAGAAGGGTCACTGAAACAAGAAATAGCTCAAGATCTGCTTTTAAGAAAGTCAGGTTTCATTGTTTCACAGACGAATAGATCAATGTTCCATCATCTAACAGTTGAGTTTAAAAACCTGCTGGGAAGTGAAGCAATATAACTTATATTGGATGTAAGCTACTTTGATGTTAATTCCCTGGTTTTGTGTCACTTAGGGGCAAATAAAAGAGAAGCTATTGCAGTCTGTCCACATCTTGCTTCTGGCTTTGATTTTCACAATAGTTTTTATTGTTTGTTTTTTGTTGTGTGTGGGTTTTTTTAAATATACCCTTTAATATATTTGATATATATACTATTTAATATAAATACTGATGTTAATGGCTTTTGAGAAATGACACTGTGTAGAGCAGAGGTTATGTTACAATTTGGAGCTACAGGGTGATGAGTAGATGAGTTACCTTTGTGCAGGACGATCCTAATGTTAAACAGACAATTAAGAGAGTGTCTTGGTCTGAGCTTGTCATTTTGGTTCATGGTACATTATTTTTTAAATACTGTTCAAAGACTGATAAGAGATTAAGGAAAAAAAAGCAACACCAAAACCAAAACAACAGAAGAGCCTTTAAAATAGTCCTGTGTAAAAGGAAAGAATTTATTTTTAAAAAATACTAATGGGCAATATCTATGTTTCTCTTGTCACCCAAATACAAACAAAGATACCCTTTATCAGTCTGCTGAAGGAATGACTCTGTAGCAACCTTCCTTTAGCTGGTAGATCAGAAACCTACTTTTTATGATTCCTGAGGGAGTTTAACTTCTACACAATAAAAATGAATAATAAAATTTAAAGCTTTCATCCTAATGGGATTAGGAGGAGTTATTTTACTTTTTATAGCTATACCAGTGATTGAAAAGCCAATTGAAACCATTGCAAAACTAGGGAAGAAGTCGTAATTAGAAGACCAGTGTAAAGAATCCTCTGAAGAACTCTTTTGAATTTAATTCAAAGACCATTTCTTGCTGGTGTTGCTAAGGGATGGTGTGAAATGTCTCAGGCTAAGCCAGGGGATGAGGCACCTCAGTGTGAATACTCCTCTGCAAACTTTTTCCTAAACCAGTATGCAGTAGAATTAAATGTTCCTCCACGCCCCCCATGCACACTCCCCCCACTTCTCGAGTGACAACTCAAGACCTTCACTCCATATTGTGGAAATGGCAAGAGAGGTGAGAGAGTTTTGTATGCATTTGTCCCTGTACAATGAAGTAAAAATACCAGGTACCTGTAATAGGCTTAAGAGACGTCTGCAGTGTCTTGGTGGGCTTGGTACATTGAGAATGTTTAGGTCTCTGACAGGGTAAAAAATGAAACTAACAGAAAGGAAATTAGTCCAGATAGAGAGAAAAGCATTACTAATTAATTTATTTGTTGCACCCCACAATCTTCCCACTCCCCAATCTGATTCAAAACTCTAGAAAAATTTTTCTCTATATTTTGTTCTGGTAATTCTGAAGTGATAATTTGGTTCTTCTGCACATTTTTCTTCATTCATAACATCTCTTCCAAAACAGCCAAACTATTAGAACTGTATTTAGCTTTCTCACTGCCAGGTATTGATCTGAGTAAACAGTAAGAATTATCTGGAATCCTTTCCCACTGGGCTATAATCCCCATACTTATCCAATTTTCTGATGTACCAAGAAATAGCTACTTGCAAAGATGGTCCACTTGGAAATTCCACTTCAGTGTCTTCCTGTGAAAGTTTACAATTTACCAATTATGAACTGCTATGGACATTATGGCCATAAATGCTGTTGTTTTACAATGCTGTCCTAAGGAAGCTTACTGCTACTTCAGCTGCCTTTTTGTGCTGTGTTTTGTTCTGCACCAGAGTCAGTCAGTACAGGAGAAGGAAATGATGAGTACTGTACTGCAGGTAAGAAACTAGACAGAACTGACATCTGTATCCCTAATTATGGATCGGTGCTTTTAATTATTTAGACTTCTATGCCATATAGTGAAAATCATTTTACTGTTAAAAAATACGTACTTTCTGTGTAAGTTAAAAATACATACTTTCTGTATAAGTTATCCTAAAAGGAAAAAAATGTCACTTTTGGGGTTCAGGATTATTGATTAACTGACTTATGTTGAAGTACCAAGTAAAATGAAACTCCCTAGTGGGTAACAGTAATGGGGATCTATTACATCTTTTCTGGCTTACAGTGAGTGAATTGGTTATTCGGTGTTCCCTTGTGATCTAAAGACAGTTTATTTTTCTTGCCCTCTAGATGGCGGTCTTGTTCTCTTTGAAAGAATCTGTTATACAGAGTCTGGTAGTGCTGTAAGAGAGAAAGTTTATTTAATTAGTCACAGTTTTTACGTTTGCATATTTGCAATGTAACGTTTATGAGCAAAAATGTTGATGTGACTGTAACATTGAAAACCTGCTGTGAACAACTGTGAGCTGATGTCTTCTTCTGCTGGGCAGGAGGAGGGTAAGTACTAACTTGTTTCAGAGAATTGCAAGTATTTATTATATCAAAAATGCGCTAATTTATCATACAAGAAAAGTTATGTAAATGATACTTTAATTTCCAAACAACAGCTTAATAAAACCACATCTTCATGATTAACCCATTAGTGGTGTGGAGTGAAAACTTCCTGAGGTTTTCAGTTCTTCCTTGTTAATAAAGCTAAATTTTTTGTTTCTTGAAGTTCTTCATTTATTTGTCTAGATAAAGCTGCTTAACAGAGAAAGGAGTGAGTCCAATGTTTGCTATTCAGCTGACATCATTACTTGTAAGCAAATAATTTAGAACAGGACCTTGTTAATTGCTGTGTGTAAGTACAGAGAGGCAGAAGGATTTATTGCCCAGTTTTCTGAGTTGTGATGAAAACATTTAATTTTTGCAGTGTGCCTTTTGTTTCTACATGTCTTTACATATATA